CCCAGGTGGCTCAGTGGCAAAGAATCTGCCTGCCAACGCAGGAGATGTGGGTTTGGTCCCTGGGTCGGAAAGATTCCACATGCTGCAGGCAACCAAGCCCGTGCACCACAATTACTGAAGCCTACGTGCTCTATGGGCTGAGATGAAACTACTGAGCCCAAGTGCGGCAGCTCCTGGAGCCTGCATACTTAGAGCCTGAGCTCTGCGACAGGAGAAGCCCCCTCAGTGAGAAAGCCGAGCACAGCAATGAAACGCAGCCCTGACTTGCTGTGACAAGAGAAAGTCCGTGCACAGCAACAAAGACCCAGCACAGCCAGAAATGAAATAAATAAATAAATTTTAATTCAGAATTTTTCTTAAATTAAAAAAAAAAAAATCAAGACAGCTTTCAGTGCCCGGCCACCATTCTGAGTGCCTTCCATGAATTAACTTTATTTACTCCTCCCAGGGACCTTATGAGGTTATGGGTCATCCTTATTCCCATTTTACTGATGAGGAAACTGAGGCACATAATAGGTCAAGTCTGTGCTTCTCAAACTATCCATGGTGAAGGAACTTAGGGTAAAAAAATTTCCAAGCTCTGGGGAATGATGCTTTTGTAACCTACACCGTCACAATTGGATGCAGGCAGTGCCAAACTGCTCTGAACATTTCTAAATTATCAGCCTCTATGCTTCCCCTATCGTGTCAACAAACAACGTGTGTCCCAGCACCAGCCTGTGGACCACACTTTTACACAGGATCAAGTGGCTTGCCAAAGACCACACAGCTGATGAGTCACAGGGTCCAGGATCTGGATAGGAATTTGGGCTCTTGACCACTTACTCTGTCTGCAGGAAGATGGTGAAGGTTTGGCCATTTGATTATTCTGATCATAATAAGAATCTGAGAAAGAAGGAAAAGAACACAGAGTGACTGAAAAGCCCGTAGCTTGGTGTCAGAACTGGTCAGGAGTTTGTGCAAAATTCTAGAGGTTCTATCAAGAAAACTAGAAAGAAAGAAAAGAAAGTGAAGTCGCTCAGTCGTGTCTGACTCTTTGCGACCCCATTGACTGTAGCCTGCACGAGGTTTCTCTGTCCATAGGATTTTCCAGGCAAGAGTACTGGAGTGGGTTGCCATTTCCTTCTCCAGGTGCTCTTTCTGACCCAGGGATTGAGCCCAGGTCTCCCGCCTTGCAGGCAGACTCTTTACCCTCTGAGCCACCAAGGAAGGAAACTAGGGTGAGAGAAAATTGGCTGCTAAGGGGCTCCCCCGGTGGTCCAGTTCGGTTAAGACTCTGCACTTCCAAGGCAGGGGGTGCAGGTTCGATCCCTGGTTGGGGAACTAAAATCCCACATGCTGCATGGTACAGCCAAAAATATTTTTTTTTTAAAAAAGAAAAGGATATACACATACCTACGGCTGATTCATGTTGATATATGGCAGAAACCAACACAATATTGTATAGCAATCATCTCCAATTAAAAATAAATTAAAAGAAAAAGGCTGCTCTGCTGAGGGTTGTGAATTTGGTCCCTTTGAAGTTCTTTGTGGGAAAAGTGAATTCAAAAACTCATTTAAATACTGTTGACTTGCTGGACTATGAAGTCACTCGGTGCCAAGACTGAGCTACGTGGAACCTCAGCTTTTATTTAGGTTATACTGACACTAGCCTGGAGAATCCCACAGACAGAGGAGCCTGGCAGGCTACAGTCCATAAGGTTGCAAAGAGTCAGACATGACTGAGGCGACTTGGCAACAGCACACAGCACACACATGAGTTTCAGTTTCTATACGTCTCTTTCCACCCCCACAGAATTTAAACCACCACCAAACTGTGACCTACTGAGGTCTCAGTGATCACTTTTGGAATTAATGAGTAATGAACAACAGGTAAAGGGTCAGACAAAAGGTCATTCTTACATGTCTATTGTGTGCAAGATTCCAAGAGAGAATGCTGGGTGTGGAGGACCAGGAGGGGAAGTGAGCCCTCCAAGTCTCAAAAGTGGCCATCATTAAGTTACAGGATTAAAAGTGGTCTTTTTATTAATATCTTCACTGAGCTTATCTGTATTCTGTATAATACCTATAACAAGCCTGTCTTACTTTTGTAGTAAGAATGAAGTTATTTGGGAGAACACAGACAGCCTCTGCTTGAAATGTGCCCCCAGTTTAATTGGAGAAAAGATGGTCAGATCATTGAGAGCAAGGATCCAGGCAAAATAGGAGATGCTCAATACATGTTTGAGTTAAATTTCAGTCATGCGTCAGGAAGGAGATCCTTTCTGAGAAGGGAGCTTTGCTTTATTTCATCACCTCTTGCCCCCCGTAGGCGCCACTGTCCTCAGCCTGTAGGCTCACGGAGGGCACAGCACAGTTGCCTAGACTGGTGGCCACCACTTAGCGCTGGATCTGTAGCAGCCACAGTTGGCCCCCATGTGGATGGCAAAATTGATCTGTTTGGGTAGTTTACTTCTCCTCCCAGCTCTCTAGCTTGTTTCGTTTCCAAGGGGATGAGGGATGGGGACACCCTGGGGACCTCAGAGGACCAGGAACCGAAGAGGCAGCCTGTTTCCCATTCCTCAGGACCTCCGTGGTCGGTGGTGCCTGCAGCATGGCCTGTCGCCTTCCTTCTAATTTCACCTGGCTGGTCCCTTGGGGCAGAGCGCAGGGTCCTGGGGCCACAGTTCCAGCTTTTCTCCTCCTTCCCCTCCCGGCTCCCGTCTCTCCTCTTTCTGGCTGCCTCAGCTCCTGCTCAAGGTCAAGGAACAAACAGATAAACCCTTTCCCTGGAGCCAGCCACGAAAAGGACGCCTCCAGCTAGAATCCAATTCTGAGTCAGGGCCAGGGCTTTCCCTTTCCTGTGAATGTGAAGACAGGAAGGAAATTTTCTGTAGCCATAAAATCAGTTTTTAAAAAAGTGTTTTGTAGGCACAGAAGAGGCCAAGCAGTTGGCTTTGGTTTAAGACACAAATAACAAATGGAAATGGTCAGACGTGGGGAAGGAGGGTCTGGGAGTAAACGTGAATATTCTTGCAGCTTTTAGCAACATTTTCTCTTACCTGAGGGCCAGCCAGGTGTTGGTGGTGGGATGGAGAATATGGGATGGCTCCCTGGCTCTATGGGACAGAATGGGGGATCTAAGTAGAGACAAGTGTGGGGATGAGCAGGGAGCTGACGACTCAGAATGTTTCTAGGCTTTGGGCCAAGACGTCCAGGGGCTGGAGCCAGGATCATAGTTATGGAGACCCAAGATGAATAGCAATGAACTTGAAGGATTTCATATCTTAGAGGGATGAACCTGGAGCCCAGAGAAGGCAGCTCTGGCCAACTAGGGAAGGGTCTTCTTGGCAGCGACATCGATTTAAGACTTTATCCAGAGGACAAGGATATCCATGAAAGGTTTAAGTGGGAGAATCGAACGGTCACGTTTCTAATGTAGAAAGAGCTCTCTCATGGCACCCGGCATGTGGCCTGATGGACAGCAAGCCTGAAGGTAAGGAGAGTGGTGAGGAGACTGCTGCTCTGATCCAGGTTGGTGGCTGAGTAGGTGGAGGGAAGATTCAAGGTATGTCAGAGGTGAAATGACAGGTCTGGGGGGTCAACTCACAAGGGAGTGGCGCTGGGGAGAAGGAAGGGAATGAGGGTGGAGCCCAAGTTTTAGGGCGGAGTGACTGGGTGTATGGAAGGGGTGCCCTCAAGGAAGAAGGGGAGGGTTGGGGGGCAGGATATATATTGTTTGAGCTTTCGCCAAGTACAGTGGGACAGGACACCAAGACGGGTAAGGCATGGCACTGACCCTGAGAAGCCAGAATTCACGGATATTAAAAAAAAGCCTGTAAGGGTGGGGCTGTCGTGATCTAACCATGAGATGTTGGGACCTGGGAGGATGGAGAGGTGGGGTAAGGGCTGTAGGAATTGATGGGCCTATTTGGAGGGGTCGGTGGTAAACAGCTGCAGGATCACAACCTTACCTTCCAGATCTTTCACATCCCTTCCCAAGAGCCGGTGTGCCTAGCTTCCCTGCCCACTCCAGCCTCAGAGCTCACCTCTTCCGGGCTCTTTGGCAAACTACTCTCTCTTAAGCCGAGGCCAGAACACAACTTGATGTTCCCCTAAGAGATCCCTGTCTCTTGCTGGGAAACACGGCCCCTCCTCCATGTCGCCTGGATCACGTCTACCCTTCTTTATGCCTCAACTTAGGAAGCCTTTCCCGAACCCCCTAAGGCTGGGCTGGTTGTGCCTCTCCTGTGCTGAAGACATGGTCCCTGGGTAGATACATAGGGAATGAATGGACATTTGGGTGGAGCGGAGGAATGAATGAGTGAAGGTGGATGAATGGCTGGTGATGGGTGAAGGCATGGGGGATGGCTGGCTGAGGAGATGAACTAACAGATGGATGAATGAAGGAGGTGACTGGAGAACTAGGTAGAGGCATGGTTGGGTAGACAAAGAGCAGAGAGTGAACTGGTGAGGCAGGGACAGAGTAGGTGGGATGGGGGCATAGGTAGGTGGGTGAGTGGGTGGAGGTGGATGGACAGTGGTGGGTGGCTGGAAAGGAGACTGCATACAAAGAAAGGGAAAGGAGACAAGGCAGCTCAGGCATCTGGAAGTTTCTGGAAATCGCATGTCCAAGGCAGCCATGGAGTTGGAATTCTGCTTTCTGACCTCCACCCTCTGACCTCTCAGTTCCCCAGAGTGCTCTGCTCCCCACACTGGAGGGACCCATTTCTGAGCGCTGCAGTCAGAGGTGTAACTGGCACCTGGAATCTCCCTCCCTTTTATCTCTCTATCTTTTATATATATATATATATATATATATATATATATATATGTAACTCTTCATCCTGTGGATTTTCTTCCCCCAGCTGGTCTGATTATTGACAGATGATGCCCTGAGTTGGGGATGAACTAAGAGATTTCAGTCTCTTCATAGCCATTCTCCTCTCATTTCTTCCCCTGCCTTCTGCATTCCCCCTCCTCCTCTGCTGGGTCTTTCCAGCAGACAGCCCAATCCCCACCCGTACTGGGCCAGTCGGAAAGCACAGACTTAGCCAGCAGCGGCCGCCTGAGCCCGTTGCCCTCGGCCCCAACCAGCCCCGGTCCCCGCTGCCTGGTGCCTGCCCCCGCCCGGCAGCTCCGATTTTTCAGCTTGGGTTTGATCGCCTGCCAGGATCTCCCAAATGTCAGCTGCGACGTTAGCATCTTTAAGAGAGCGCCCGAGGCGATCTTTAAGCAGGGAGGCTGGGGCCCCATGCTGATGAGAGGAGCCTGCTCTGAGCTGACAGCTTTGCCTGCCGCCTTCCAGAGCCGTGGCTCTGGGGGCCTGTGGCCCCCCACTCTTTGGGCCTGGGCAGAACCTGGGTTTATCTTTAAGGCTGGATGAAGCAGGGCTTTGCCTGGAGTTGAGCTCTATCCCCATCGCCTCCCCCTACCAGGGAGCCCCAGGAGGGCAGGGAGGGACCACAGTGTCATCACAGCCCTACCCCCAAGGCCAGTGTGGGGCCTGACCTCGAGGAGAAGGGGAAAAATATTTGTTAATCTAAATATTTGCTAATCTGCATGAGTGCGCGAGCATCCTAGGTTGCCCCAGAGAGCGGCAGGGCGCTTTCTCCCGCACTTTCACCTTGAGGGCGAGATGTTCAAGGGGAGGGGCGATGGGCAGAGGCTCCAGACTTTGGGGTCAGACTGACAGATCCAGTGTGCAGAAGCTGTGTGACTTTGGGAAGGTTGCTGGCCCTCTCTGAGCCTGGTTTATCATCGATGAAATGTGCAAGAGGATGGAATGATGGCCACATAGAGCTGTTGGGAGGATCCACGAGATAATGAGAGGGGAACGCTGGGTACAGTGTCCCCCTCCCACTACTGCACACAGTAGGCACTCACTCAGCTTGCTCTCTTCACCCTTTCTGCCCCTTCCCTGCCCCTAAGGCTCTGCAGGGGCTATCCTTCCATTCCTCTGTCCCGAAGGCCCCTTTCCAATCATCCTTGTCCTTCCAGATCCTGCGTATGCCCCTGCTCTGGGACCCCCTCCTCGCCAGCCCAGTCCAGGCCCTCCGAGAGCCCCCAGGACTGAGTGCCTGAACCACCACCCACGCAATATGACTGTGCTTTCTGTCCCAAGACGAGGGTCAGCAAATTTCTGAGGGGCAGAAAATATTTGTTATTGATTTCCAGAGTCTTAAACAGGTCCTGTGCTGTGCTCAGTCGCTCCGTCATGTCTGACTCTTTGCAACCGCATGGACTGTAGCCTGCCAGGCTCCTCTGTCCATGGGGATTCTCCAGGCAAGAATACCGGAGTGGGTTGCCATGCCCTCCTCCAGGGGATCTTCCCAACCCAGGAATCGAACCAGAGTCTCCTGCATTGCAGGTGGCTTCTTTATCAGCTAAGCTACTAGGGAAGCCCCCCACCCTAGTACCAGTCCTAGTACACAGCTACTGCAGAATGAATGAATGAATTACGCTCATACCTAGTTAGCTGGCCTGAGCAGAATCAAGGGACCTTTCCGGAAGATTTTAGTAATAAAAGAATGTACACCTCAAAGGCTGAGCCCTGCTAAACCCTTCAAAAACGGCCCCAATGCGTTACAGAAAGGCTGTTGCCTTTTCCCGAAAGGCCATGTCTCACTCCGGTCCTCAGAACTGGGATGACTACTGTGTTTTCAGTTGCCATTTGTCACACAGCAGGCTGGAGGCAGGTGCAGAAGTTGCCCGTGGCCTGGTCCAGATCATCCTTCTGATCCTTGGTCCCTGGACTAGTGGGTCTTGGCCCATCCTCTGGCCACCACTGGTGCCCACGGCAGAGTCCCCAGTGCCCTGATGATCCATGTGCTTTGCAGAGTGGCAAGGCTTAGCAGTAAAGAATCTGCCTGGCAATGCAGGAAACTCGAGTTCGATCACTGGGTCAGGAAGATCCCCTGGAGAAGAAAATGGCAACCTGCTCCAGTATTCTTGCCTGGGAAATCCCAAGGACAGAGGAGCCTGGTGGGCTGCAGTCCATGGGGTCACAAAAGAGTCAGACACAACTCAGTGACTCAACAACAACAACAAAGGCTATGGAAGTGACCTCCATGTTGTGGCTCGGTCATCTTCCACATTTCTGAGGTCTCTCACTTGGGACTGAAGTACCCAGATGGGGAGGTGAAGTGACTCAGAAGAGAAACGGAGAAGTACCTCCAGGCCAGATCCCACCCAAGTGGAGGCAAGGAGGGAAGGAGTGCAGCTTGAACCTCGTACACAGGAGCTGCAGTCTTGATGGGGACCGGTTGGGACTGCTATGCTAAACTGGGAGACAGGGAGTTGTACACTTCCACAGAAAGGATAGCAGCTCACACAGTGTTAGTCACTCAGCTGAGTCCGACTCTTTGTGACCAGGTGGACTGTAGCCCACCAGGCTCCTTGTCCATGGAATTCTTCCAGGCAAGAATCCTGGAGTGGGTTGCCATTTCCTTGTCCAGCTCACATAAGAATATGTTTAAAAACTGAAAGATGAAGGAACTGGACTCAGAATAGCTCTAGAATAAAATGACTGAGCGACTGAACAACAACAAAGTACAATGAATAGATGAACGAAAGGGAAGTGAGTGGTAGGCGGACAGATGGCTACATGGGAGAGTGGTGGTTGGACAGGTGACAGCTAGATGACCGGATGAGTTGAGAAATGAATAGATGGGTAGATGAATGGGTGGATGGATGGGTGAATGTGTGGGTGGATGGATGGATGATGGATAGATGAGTAGGTAGGTGGATGGGTAACGCAATGGATGCATAGATGGGAAGATGGATGGGTGAATGGGTTTATGCAGGAGTGGGTAGGTGAGTGGACAGGATGGATAGATGGAAGATGGGTGGATGGATGAGTGGTGGATGGAGGTGTAGACGGGAAGATGGACAAGTGAATGGGTTCATGGATGGATGGGTAGGTAAGGTAGATGGATGGATGGGAAGATAGATGAATGAGTGGGTAGGTCGGTGAGTGGATGGATGGGTAGATGGTAGCTGGGTGGAGAGATGAGCAGATGAGTGCATAGATGGGAAGATGGAGAGAGGAGGACAGGAGGATGGGTGAGTGGGTGGACAGAGGTAGCACTGGGGTAACTGGTTGGGGGTTGGGGAATCTTGCCTTTACCTTGATTCCCACCCTCATGAGAATCACTGGGGCTTGTCGTAATCACCTGATCTTTTTGGACTTCAGCTTCCTTATCTGCCTAAAGGGGCAGTGGTCCCTGCTCCTCCCTCCCCACCCCACCACCACTACCCAGGGATGAGAAAAGATCTGGGCTGTGAGTACCCCATGGCACCACAGCCTCTCCAGCCCTACTGACCAATCTCACCCCGTCATGTGTCTGTCCCGTGATGAGCTTCCTCTTTCCTGTGCCCACAGGGGAACTTCTGTGCAGTTTCCATCAACATTTCCTAATGAGGTCAAGGGAATTCTGGTTCACAGCCAAGTCCAGCGTGGGCAACACCCACACCCCAGGTTGCACCTGGCTGATACGGGCCGGGGTTATGAGGTCATCTCTGAGATCAAGAAGTGGATTCCAATCCCAGCTCTGGCTCTCAGTGCGGTGGGGACCTGAGGCAAGTCAACACACTTCTCTGAGCCTCACTTTCATCACCTGAAAACAGGGAGAGCAGCAGCCACCCAGGGAGGGTGCCTCGGAGCTTCCTATGACAAAACACATGTGGATGTTCTGCCCGCGTGGGGCCCTGGGCTGGGCTCAGAGAGGCACAGCCGCCCTTGCTATTACCTCCACAGGAACCAAATGATGGCTCACAGGCTTGCTGTAGAATGAGCATCCCGTGTGTGAAGGTCTGGCTACACACACAGGTGTTCCAGGGAGTCAAGAACCCCAGGTACACGCAGGCTCGCAGTCACAGCACCTAGCCTGAATGACCCCTCTGTGCGGTCACGTTGTGGCTCCACACGTACCTCCTTCTGGACAGCCCAGAGTCTGGCGCTTCCCATTACTAGCTGGGTGACCCTGGGCAAGTGACCTCACCTCTCTGAGTCTTGCTTTCCTCACCGAGGAAAGTGGGCCTCGGAGTTACCAGTGTGGTTTGCCATCTGCTTCCCCATCACAGGGCTTCCCTGGGGGCTCAGGCAGTAAAGTGTCTGCCTGCAATGCTGTAGACCTGGGTTTGATCCCTGGGTCGGGAAGATCCCCTGGAGAAGGGACTGGCAACCCAGTCCAGTACCCTTGCCTGGAAAATCCCATGGACAGAGGAGCCTGGTAGACTACAGTCCATGGGGTCGCAAAGAGCCGGATGCGACTGAGCGACTTCACTTCACTTCCCCATCACTGAATGGTTTGCCTTACAGCGAGGGTGGTGGGGTAGGACGAGGACCCTTCACTGCTAGAGGTGAAATGCTGGGGTCCAAAGAGGTTCTGAACAGGCCTCAGTGAAGAGCTGAGATAAGAATGCAGCCCCCTTCCAAGATCTGCACCTTAAGGGTTTCAGCTGCAGCCCGGAGCTAAATAAAGGCTGGGCTCTGGGGCCATGATTGCTCCTGCTGCTGCTACCCGGGCCAACGCCTGGCACTTCCTGGCCAGTGGTGGAGTCCTTGCTGGGAGCTCAGGGCTCGTGGGACTCTCCTTTCCCTGGAGCCTTGAGAGACTGCCCCCCGGAGGGCCCTCCCAACCCTGCAGACCCAAGGGGCACCCACCGAGTCCATGGGAGTCTGGGTGGCCCAAGTGACATGGTTGTTGGGTCAGTGCCCCCCAGGCCTGGGTGCCCCGGGCTTGGGAGAGGTGCTGGGGGAGAGGAATGGGGACCCAGGGCCCCTGGAGGTGGCAGCAATGCAAGGTCCCAGCCCCCACCAGCCCGAGGGTCCCTCCTCCCCTTCCCCCACTGTTGCAGACTCTGGTTAAAATGGCACCTCCGCCATCTGTCATCCCTCCCCCACTCCACGGGCGGCTGTGACTCTGACTCGGGGTGGGGGTGGGGTTGCCTGTAAACAGGAGGCAGGCGGGTCCCCAGGGTCAGGCGAGCACGCCAGTGATGGGCCTGATGCTGGCCCAGGGCTGCTGAGCTGGGGAGGAGCCCCTGGTGGGCGGGCAGGATACCTGGTACTAAGAGGTCCCCAAGCCCTTCCCAGGTGGGGGGGGGGGGCAACTCCCCAGGGGTCCCTGGGTGGCCATCACCCATCTGCACCATGCCCTTTCCTGAGCGCCTCCAGCTCCCTGGATCTCTCACATCCTCCCCGCCTTGCTTCTGCTGTGTTTAGAGAATTTCAGATCAATACCTGGGTCTGATAGGGTCGATGGACCCTCCCTAACAAGGGCTGCCTCCCTGGGCAGCATGCACCCTGCCTCGGGCATCTCTGCTTTACAACCAGGAAGACCGAGGCCAGAGAGCAAGGCAGTGGGGGAGCCCGGGGGTGGACCCAGACTCACCCCGACCTGGCCCTGGCTTGGCTGTGCCTCACAGTCCGAGGCAGATGAGAGGAGGCAGGCAGGGGTGTCACAGGGGGTGAAAGGCTCTGAAGGTCAGCAGGCCTCGGAGCCTCACTTTTCCCACCGGGGGAATGGGGGAGTCGAGGCCGCTCCGAAAGGGTATCTTCGGAGCCAGAGGCACACAGGGACTTGTCCTTCTCTCCTAATGCCCCGCGACTGGAAAGGGGCAGCCTGCGGGTAAAGGGGGGCGCGAGATGGGGGTCAGATAGGAATCAGTAGGTGTCAGCCCCCTCCACGGGCCTCCCCCACCCCAGCTCTGCAGCGTCTCCCTGCCCCCACTGCAGGGCCGCCAGCTGCCCCCTCCCCTCCCTGCCTTCTGACTGCCAGCTCCTCCCCGCAAAGCCCCAGACCCCAGCTGCAGTGTTTTTACAGCTCTGACCGGCCGCTCAGCCTCCCTCCTCTCTCTCCCCCCGCTCCTCCCCGCCTCCGCCTCCGTCTTTCCCCCTCCTCCATCCTCCCCCCCCTCCTCCTCTTCATCTTTCTCCCTCGGTTCTCCCCTCTGCATCCTCTCCCCCTCCTCCCTTCCGCCTCTCCCCTTCCTCCAAGCCTCCTCCCCCTCTCTCCCCCCCCCTCCCCCACCGCCCCCCTCCCTCCCTCCCTCCTTCCCTCCCTCTCTCCGGGGGAAGAAAGGTCACCGTGCAGCTGATTACTCAGAGCTCAGTTGCTGTAGCAACCGGCGGGGGAAGTGGGACAGGCTGGCTTTGAGGACGCGTGAGGTCGGCCGCGGGCGGCTGGAGCCGGCGCGGGCCTCGGTGCTCCCGCGAGCTGGAAGCTGCCGGGAGCCGGGCTCCTCGGCCGCCGCGGGCCCGGCTGCGGGCTTTCATTTTTAATGAAGAATTCCTGCTCCCCTCTCGCACCCCACCCCGCCTCCTTCGCACCTCCCTGGGGTCTGGCTGGGGAGGTTTGCCTCTCCTCGGTTCGGCGGCTTCTTTCTGGTCCTCGTCTCTGTCTCTCCCCCCCACCCCCCACCTCTGTTAGGTTCTGATGGCTTCTTTCTTTCTCCTTCTGTCCCAGCGCTCAAAGGCACAAGGCCCCTTCCCCGCGCACACGCGCGCACACACTCACCTCTCACCAGCTTGGTAAGGAGCCCAGTGAAACCCTCAGCGTTCCCACCCCACCCAGGAGCCTTTGTCAGGGGCCTGGGAGGCCCCAGGCTCCCTCACACAGCCAGAGACAAGAACCCAGGGAGGTCCAGCCCACTGCTTCCTGGGCCCAGCGACATCTGCCTGGCACCCGCTGTGTGCCCAGCTCCCCGTCCAGAGGGGCTGGGGAAGGCAGAGGGTGGGGGGCTGGGGGGCTGGGGAAGGCAGCTCTCTGCTGGAAAGGGAAGCCAGACCCCTGGAGGGGAGGGTGAGATGGCAGCCCAGCCCCCTGCTGTGGGTTGGTCCCTCTCCTGCAGCCCAGAAGCCCCCGGGTGGGGGGGTGCGGTGCAGGGTTAGCTGTGACAGAGGGTCCGGGAGGTCTGGGGCCTGGCAGTGAGGGACACAAGCTCTGTAGTGGGCTGAGACTGGGTTCCAGTCCCCACCCTCCTCTGGGACCCTCCTCCTCTGCTGATGGGAGTGTAAAATGGTTCAAACACTCTGGAAAACATTTGTTAGCTTTTTCGAAAGTGGAGCGTACACCTTCCATATGGTCAGGCCATTCCCCTCCTAGGCATTTATCCCAGAGAAAGGAAAACTTAGGTCCACGCGGACTTGGACACAAATGTTCACCGCAGCTGCATTTGTAACAGGAAAAACTGGAACCAACCCAAATATGCATCGGTTAGAGAGTGGCTCCACAGGTCCTGGGCATCCCTACCACGGAACAGGACTCGGTAACAGTAAGAAGAAATGAACTGCCAATACTGCAGCAACGCAGGAATCTCAAGGTTGTGATGCTGAGTGAAAGGAGCCAGGAGACACAGAGTGCATCCTGTGTGGCTCCATTTCTAGAACATTCTAGAAAGTGCCAACTGACCTATAGTGGCAAACCAGCTCTGTGTTTGCCTGGGTACGCTGGGTGCTGGGAGGTCCCACAAGGGGCACGGGAAAAGTTTTGGAGGGTGGTGGATGTGTTCGCTGTCTTGACAGTAGTGATGGTTTTATGGGTGCACGCATGTGTATGCTCAGTCGCTTAGTCATGTCCAACTCTTTGCAACCCCATGGACTAGCCTGCCAGGCTCCTCTGTCCATGGAATTTTCCAGGCAAGAATACTGGAGTGGATTTCCATTAAACATGGGAGAAACTGGCCCTACCCCCATCCTCGTAGGTACATGGTCTGGGGCAGTTAGAGCACGAGGGACGGAAGTCCAGGCATGTGCAAAGACCCTGTGGCTAATGGCAGCCCCGTACCTCCCAGAGGCTGAAATGGAAACAGCAAGAGGCACACAGACAGCCGCCATTGTGTAACCTCCTGCGGGCCCTGCTAAGGGATCCGCAAGCCTCCTGAGGGTTGCCAAGCTCCTGTGTATGGTTTGTAGGAGACTGTGGAGGCATTGAATTCCAGCTCCCAGCTCAGCATCCCTTTCTCTAAGCCTCAGATTTTCCATCTGGCAAATGGGGATGGTGATCCCTCATGCCACACTGTGTTCTAATTCTCAGGCTCTGTGGGCTCCCCTCTGAGCCTCTGTGCCTGGCACAGAGCAGACACCCAACAATCTCTCAGGCTGTGAATAATCAGGGCACCGAGGCAGGAAGGATAGGGAGTCCACAGTCACGCTGAAAGACAGGCTACTTCTGTGGGTGGGCAAGTATGGCCCCCACCCCCCACAAATTCTCATAAGGTATTAGCTGGACACTGCCTTACTCGCCACCCTCAGCCTCAGTCTGAAGCCTTTTCTTGCATTGAGAGCAAGCGTGAGTGTTTGCTAAGTCATTTCAGTTGTGTCTGACTCTGTGACCTCATGGACTGTAGCCCGCCAGGCTCCTCTGTCCATGGGACTCTCCAGGCAAGAATACTAGAGTAGATTGCCATGCCCTCCTCCCGGGGATCTTCCTGACTCAGGGATCAAACCCACAAGCCTGAGAGCAAGCGTGGGGACGATTTTCTTGATGTTCTGAGCCGCAGTTGGTTTCGGTCCTTTGTCAGTGACTTTGACCGACCAAGTTGTCACCTTTACTCACTTGAGAAGGCCCTGGAGAGGGCGAGGTTCTGAACTCCCATCCCCACCCTGGACGAGCTGTCCAGAGCATCACGGGGAATCAGGTTGACGTGAGAGATTTCCACCAGGAATCTCATGCCCAGAGACGGGGCAGGCCTGGGCCAGCTGCACAGGGAGGCCATGCCAGAGCCTGACTCGGGCTCACTGTCCAGTGCTCTTCCCATGGGGCTGGGCCAGGCTGCAGACGAGCTGGCTGATTCCCTTTTTTTTTTTGTGGCCACTGAGGCTCACCCTAGAGTTTCCAAATTGTGCCAGGGATGGGAGTAAAGTGTTATGTTGAGACCCCCCACAGAGCTGGCCGGGAACGTGGGCTCCAGCCTCTGAGTGGCTCTCATGTCCACCACTCCTTTCACAGCTCCCCATCCTCACTCCTGCCCTCGGAGCAGAGGGAGAACCAGGGCCAGAGCCGGCCTGAAGCCGCAACCCCGACACCTCGGAGCCTTCCGGGCTCTCCCTTGACCTGGCAGAGCAGTGCACCCACCCGCCAGCCCTGATCGCTGCCGTTTCAGAGAGAAGCTTAATGAAAAAAATCTCACCAGATACCACAGCCTCTGAAGCTGACCCCCACCACTCCTCCATGCTCTGTTACCCCAACCACGTCACTGCCCCTCTCTGACCCACCTTTTCTGAAAGCTGTGTCTGCATCGCGCTCAGCTTCAAGGCGCTGACTGCACAGGCCCCCTGAAAAGCGGTCATTGCAGTTAAGAAGTCCGTTTTCCTGGAGGCCTGCAGAGTCTGGGTGAAGCGCCCCAAACCGGCCAGGTGGTGGCTGATGCCACATGCAGCCAGAATCCGGGGCTCCCACCCCACTGCTGGCAGGGCTACATGACCTTGAGCAAGTCCCCGCGCCCCTCAGAGCCTCAGGTTCCTCCTCTGTGACCTGGGGACGAGAAAGGGACACAGTGACCTCCAGCAAGAGTGGCTGTTTCCACGGAGCAGGACGCAGGCACCAGTATGTTGTCCTTGGCGGTGCCCTCCGGCTGCGCCTCCATTTGTGGCTGTAGCCCAAGGCCTCCCGTGGGACTCTATTGGTGGCCAAGAGACAGGGGGTTACATTTGCTGAGACAGTGGCACCGGGGCTGCCCCCATTCTCTCCCCTGCCCACATACCCCAGAGGCCTGAGCCTGACCCTCCCGCTTGCCCTTGAACTGTCTCCCAGACACCTCCTGTGTGTAGGCATGGTGAGACCCTGAAGAGGAGGAGCTGTCCAGCGTGGTCAGGGGTGTGATGGGTGGGGCAGGGTCTGGGGAGAGGGCAGCAAAAGAGGGTCTAATCTGAAACCCAAATCTTGAGTCAGAGTCAGCCAGGCAGAGGCTGTGGGGAGGCTCCTGGCAAAGGACACATAGCACGTGCAAAGGCCCAGGGGTGAGGGAAAAAAACAGGGCTAATTCAAACAATTGAAATATGTTCCGTTTCAGAAGCAGAGAGCTGCAAGCTGTGGAAAGGACCACTAAGGAGGGAGGTGGAGAAATCAGTTTGGGTCGGGCCATTCCTGGGGCTTGTGTTAGTTTCCGTGTTATGCTGAGGGTCATGGGGAGCCATGGAAGGTTTTAGGAGAGGAGCGATGCATTCAGGGACCTTCCAGAAAGATTGCTCTGGCTGCTCCGAGCAGAAGGGACTGCAGGGACAAAAGGAGAAGCCTGGGAGGGGGGCCCAGTGGGGTGGCTGCTGATGTCAGGCCAGAAATAATGGGGGCCTGGACTGGGGCGGCAGAGGGTGGGCAGAGGGGACTGCCGGGAAGGGTAATTTTGCTGGGACTTCCTGGGTGGTTCAGTGGCTAAGATTCGGCTCTCAATGCAGGGGACCTGGGTTCGACCCTTGGTCAGGAAACTAGATCCCACATGCCCAAGACCAAGTGCGCCCAAATAAATTAATGAAAAAAAAGAGAGGGTAGCTTTGCTGGACAAGGGGATGAGGAAGGAGGGAGGAAGAGGCTGGACAGCAGGGTGGGTGCTGGGGCGTCTCTGAGTCAGGCCACAAGGAAGGAAGGAAGGGGCAGTGTCTTCACAAGCCTGAAAGAAAGAAAGAAAGTGAAGTCGCTCAGTCGTGTCCTACTCTCTGTGACCCCATGGACTGTGCCTACCAGGCTCCTCTGTCCATGGGATTTTCCAGGCCACAGTTTTCTGCGGGCCTCATGGGATAGCCCTGACCCTAAAATAGCCCTCCTCATTCACCGGGGAGCTGGAGCTGTCCTTGTGGAAGCAGGGCTCTCTGGCAGGTAGAAGCCCCTGTGGGTAAACAGCCGGCAGTCGTGGGGGCTGGGTCCTGGGATCCAGGGAGTGCCACCTGCAGCTGGCGGAGCATCCAAACCCGGCCTGGAGGGGCAGCTTCCTGGGATGAGGCGTCGAGCAAAGCAGAGCCAGGAGGGTCTGGCTCCAACCCTTGTGGATGTTCCCTCTGCCTCGGGGTCCCTCTTCTCTGAGACGGACCGATGCAGAGGGACAGACTGACTACCAGCCCGAGGGGTCCAGAGAGCTGAACATGGCACGGGGCCCCCGTGGACTAGGAGAACCAGGACGTGGGGTGGGGCTGTGGCTCCAGGGAGTCTGTAATCTGGGGGTTGCCCCGCTCATTGGAAAGGACCCTGATGCCGGGAAAGATTGAGGGCAGGAGGAGAAGGGGGCGACAGAGGGTGAGATGGTTGGATGGCATCACCGACTCAAGGGACATGAGTTTGAGCAAACTCCAGGAGATTGGGAAGGACAGAGAGGCCTGGGGTGCTGCAGTCCACGGGGTTGCAAAGAGTCGGACACAAGTGAGCAACTGAACAACCACTCATAGAGGGGTCAGTTCTGACCCCAACCTCAAGCTCCGCTCTGTCCAAGGGGTGAAATGTGAATGTCCCCACACTCAGGGTGCCCCCCGACCCCATACCCAGTCAGAAGCAAGTCCTGTTGGCTCTGCTGCCAGACCTGTGCCCTGCCCCTCCCCACGGCCACCCCAGGTCCAGCCTCCCCATCTCTCCCTGCACAGCCGCCTCCTCAGGGCCTCCCTGCCTCCGCCACACTCTGACCCGGCCTCCTGCCCACTGCAGCCCAGGGAGCCCCACGGTGCATTTGAAGACAAGACTGGGTTCATGTCCAATGCCCGGTGGCTTCGCATTGTACCCAGAAGGACAGAGAACTCTGCCCACAGTACCAGCCCATGCGGGACTCTGCCTTGGTCCCCAGCCATCTTCCATCCTTCCCTCCGTCTCTCACACGGGCTCCCCTCCAACCTTCCCTCCAGGCCTTTGCACTTGCCATTCCTGACACTTGGAGACCCTCTCCCCAGGGCTGCTGGGGCTCCTTTTTTTTTTTTTTTTTAAAGATTTTAAATTTTGTATTGGGGTGTAGTTGGTTAACAAACAATGTTGTGATAGTTTCAAGTAAACAGCAAAGGGGCTTGGCTATACATATAACATGTATATGTTCTCCCCCACACTCCCCTCCCATCCAGGCTGCCACATGACATTGAGCAGGGTCCCCGGAGCTATACAGTAGGTCCTTGTCGGTCATCCACGTGTACATGTCCATCCCAGACTTCCTAACTATCCCTTCCTGCATCCTTCCCCCTGACAACTGTAAGTCCATTCTGGAAGTCTGTATGCTTCTGGTTTGTAAGTGTGTTCATTTACATCATTTATTTTTAGATTCCATGTATAAGAGAGGTCATACAATACTTCTCCTTCTCTGTCTGACTTACTTCACTCAGTATGACACTCTCTAGGCTACAAATGGCATTATCTCATTCTTTTTAACGGCTGAGTAATATCCCATTGTATATATGTCCCACATCTTCTGTATCCATCCCTCTGTCGATGGACATTTAGGTGGCCTCCGTGTCTTGGCTGTTGTAAACGGTGTCGCGCGGCTCTTTTTACTGATCCTTCCAATCTTAGCCCAGATGTCAGCTCCTGAAGGAGGCCCCAGCCCAACCCCATTCACTCCACAGCTTCACAGCGCTGAACATGCCTGAACATCCTTGTGCTGTGCCCTCCGCGTGTCGCCAGCTGCCCTGCAGGAAGCTCACTGTGGACAGACACTGGGCTCCCCGTGTATCCTGTTGCCCACACAGTATCTGAGTGAGTGAACGAGTGACTCTTTCCCACCCTCCCACCCACCCAACCACCCGCTGGGACTACTGAGGCCAGAACGTGGAAAGGGCGGGTCCCCCAGCTGTGTAGCAGAGGTGAGTCCAGGGTCCTCATGCCTGGAGCACCCCGCCCCCCTTCCTTCACCAAGGCACAGAACAGCATGGGTGCTGAACTCCGTCAAACAAGGTTCAAAACCGAGCTCTGCCATCTACAAGCTGCAGGGCCCCGGGTAGACTTCTTCATCTCTCTGTACCTCCATCTTCTCATCTATAAAATGGGGAGAATAACCGTCCCTCCCTCACAGCGCCAGAGGGAGGAGTCAGCAGGCTCCTGTGGGGCACAAACCGCTGAGCCACCGCATCTAGCACATGGTAAGTCCGCAATAAATGGCAGCCCCTCAAAAGCATCAGTGGAGGGACTCCCCTGGTGGAAAGTGTTAGCCACTCAGTCGTGGCCAACTCTTTGTGACCCCATGGACTGTAGCCCACCAGGCTTCTCTGTCCATGGGATTCTCCAGGCAAGAATACTGGAATCGGTTGCCATTTCTTTCTCCAAGGGATCTTTCCAACCCAGGGATTGAACCTGGGTCTCCTGCATTGGCATGCAGATTCTTTACCGCCTGAGCCACCAGGGAAGCCCTGTCTCCGGGGTCCAGTGGTTAAGAATCTGCTTTCCAGTTCAGGGGACACAGGTTTGATCCCTGGTCAGGGAACTGCAATCACACAGGCCTAGGAGCAACTAAGTCCTCACATGGCAACTACTGAACACATGCTCCAGGGCTTGGGCTCTGCAACCAAGCCAGCACAGTCAAAAGAAAAGAGCATCAGCTGAGCTTCTGAGTTGGGCAACCAAGCCAGCACAGTCAAAAGAAAAGAGCATCAGCTGAGCTTCTGAGTTGGGCACGGGGGCTCATGCCAGGTGAAGACCCTAGGCCCGTGTTTGGAGGCCTGTTTTCTTATCAACAAGGCACATCCATCGCCCTTCAGAATCCCTCCGTGTGGGATAGGTGGTCATCCCTTGGGCTGGGAGCTCCATGAGGGCAGGGACCGGGCCTGTCTTTTACACTGTGTGTGATGAATGCTGAGCGAGTGAATGAATGAATGAATGAGGCCACAAATCATCTGCCTCCCAAGGCAGCATCCCAAGAGAAGCCCACGTTGGCTCCAACCTCTGCGGGGATCACCAGCCCAGGAGAGGAGGTTGCCAGGGTTGCCAACGGCTCAGAGGCTTCTAAGAGTCTCTTGACAAAAGGATCAAAGGAAGCAGATGACAGAAGGGCAGGAAATGGCTGCTGGTGGGTGGGGTTCCAGAGCCCCCTCCCCAGGCCGGGATGAAAGAGGCACAGGAAAAGGACACAGATGGACCGGCCATGGTCGGGGCGGGGGGGGGGGGGGGGGGGGAGGGTGACAGGATGTGGACAGAGGGTCTCAGCCACTTCCCTTTGCCCAGAGGATGAACTTGATGGTTTTCTTCTCCTGCACTACCCTCCTTCTAACTCCCCAGACCAGCAAACAGCTCTGAACCCAGCACTTGGAGAACACCCAGAAAGTGTTTGCCAAATCACTGTGTGCATGAATGAATGAATGAAAGAATGAATGAAAGCTTTTGTCAGCTACTCCTGAGCTTTGCAATAGTGAAGGGGAGTGGGTCAGTCCAGGGAATGTTGACATAAAAATGCAGAGCAAACCTCCACTGGTTGTTTCAAAGAGAATATTAATAATAATTATGACTAGCTGATATTTTATAATAACTATAAATGGGGCATACCCTTTAAAAATTGTGAATCACTACATTGGACACCTCTAACTTATATAACATTGTACATCATCTACTGCTCAGTTGGTAAAGAATCCGCCTGCAATGCAGGAGGCCCTGGTTCGATTCCTGGGTTCGGAAGATCCACTGGAGAAGGGATAGGCTACCCACTCCAGTATTCTGGCCTAGAGAATTCCATGGACTGTATAGTCCATGGGGTTGCAAAGAGTTGGACACAACTGAACAACTTTCACTTTCATACTTTGATAAAAACAAAGAAAAAAAGAATAATTATTACAGCCAGTGCTTACTAAGCAGTTACTATGCACTGGGAGCTCAATATCTCTGCAGTATTTCCCCACGATCTCAGTGACTCCTCGCCAACTCTACAATGCGTTGTTAGTTTCTAGAGG